CATCTCTTGGGCCTGGAGAGAAACTAGCTAGTAAACAGTATCCATCTCTTGGGCCTGGAGAGAAACTAGCTAGTAAACAGTATCCATCTCTTCGGCCTAGAGAGAAAGTACCTAATAAACAGTATCCAACTCTTGGACTACTCTTGTCTGCCTGAGTAATGGGATTTTACCCTCATTCTTATAATGCAACTATGGCTTCAAATTGTGGGACAAGTTTTACGCCAACCACGCACGAACTGTGAATCGTCGGATTTACAGTATAGACACGCTAACTACTAAGACTCGCCCGTTCGATAAAGAATTAGAATTAAAAACGATATTAAACTATACGAAATGTAGGCAGATTCGTTCATTTTTAACAAGAGAGAGAAGGAAAACAACCAAGCGTCATATATATATATATGTATGTATGTATGTATGTATGTGTGTGTGTGTGTGTGTGTGTGTGTGTGTGTGTACCCAGGTCGATCAGCGGTAAGTTACGGTCTTTGAACGCTAATGTCTGATATCCGTTTCCCCGCGGTGGACAGAGCTCAAATAGTCTATGTGGTTTTGAGCTAAAATAAATTATGTGAATTACAAAACATTAGTTTTTCTGTACAGTTGTAGATAAGACAACCATAATGTTTGTAAAATAACTTATTACTTCAATACCAAAATAGGTATTAACTTTAGATACTAAACTATTATTTAACAAGATGATATTCAAGATTTTCATTCTTGTGATTCTGTATTCGACGTGTTTGTTTTTATGTTTTCGAGTTTTACCCTTGATTCATGAGGTCCTTAAAATGCTGTTAATACCAAGCTTTGCGTGAACAAAATCGGGGATGTTTGATTACAGATAAGTCGCATTTTTCTTCTTGAGTATATATGTTAAAAATATGAGATTTATTACTATTTAAATAATAACCATACTCGATACTTTGTTATTATCTTCGCTTCTTAGCAAAAAAAAAAAAAGGTAATGTTTATGAGATAGCAATGACTCACGTGATGTTTACTTTCAGCCATTGGAAACCAGTCTTGTGGGGACTCCTGGTGTTTGTTTTGGTAACCCACTCGATCAAAACAGTGACTCGGAACTTCGATTGGTAGGTGTTTCAACCAGTAGATGCTAACATATTTAGTCTTACCTTACAAACCGTGAATATACATTTAGTATGATACGCTTTTATTAAGCCAAATTGGCATTTCTTACTTTAAGCCAGAATGGCACCTTACAACCTATGGGATACGCGGCTCAACGGAAGAATCAGAGACCCCCTAGATTTATGCATAGCCGTTAAAACTACTGTTATGTAAATAAAGGATACTTAGTCAGTAACACACACAACCTAAAAGCATCCCAGAACCGAAAACATCAGGTCATTAAGTACACTAAATATAAATGTTGCGTTTTTATTTATTTTTTATTACATCACCAACATAACTTTAAGAGAACTATATCCTCACGGGACTTCACTGTTCAAACTATTCCATATTCTCGAAAACAAAACTAGGAAAAAACTTCTTAACTGTAGACTTTCGGGGCATGAACAGTGAATATATATTATACGAAGGTCAGAAACTATTAATATACTTTTTCAGCTTCTGGTGTCCCTTGAACTTAAATAAACTATTACCGTATTTTTCGGAATATAAGACGCTCCGGTGTATAAGGCGCA